AAATGAATTACATCCAAAATGTGCAATCGAGTCATCCAAGCTCAACCTGCTCACATGTCAGACCTCAAACGATCAGAGACGTTCTGATACAAACACAACCCCATAATGAGTCTACAATCTGAATTTGCGATTTGTAAAATAAAGACACAACAGAGAAGAGAGACCACCGCACCCCGAACGAGCTAAGCTAACATTAGCATGAGCTCGCCTGCTGTCCCTCTAGATGTGATGTGTTAAAACATTTGAGTGAAATCAGCTTTTTAATGTGAGAGGTCTCCATTCAGTGTTGTTTAGACTCGTGTAGGTAAACACAACTTCCTGTGAAGGATTTTTATTTTGGATCGCAGATTCTAAATTTATCCCAATAATTTAAACATGATAAGACTCAAAGAAGACATGATTTCCCCTCAGTTTGGGCACACTGAACCAGTTTGATGGAGGCCCAGGTTTAACCACCTTCATGCTTCATCACCATCAGATGAAGCTGCAGATAACCATCAGCTACCCTCAGATTCACTGCTGATGCTTTAGGGGATAAAAAAACTTCAGGAGGGAAATTATAAAAAACACAACATCAGAGCAAAAGACGAGCGGACTTCCTGATTCCTGCATTTGAGAACTATCAGAAACATTTGTGATGTTGGTTTCTCAACATGTTGCCACCTCTCCGTTCAGTTTGATGCCTGGCGAGCATTTCTCAAACGCCGTCTTCATCTGAGAGACGAGACGAGAGACGACCTCCTCTCTCTGTGATCACAGTAATGCAAACGTGGACACTCTCTGCCGGGCGGACTCCACTTTGTCTCGTTTGTCAGAAGGAACAAACAGCACAGGAACATAAAAACTTGGTGCACCTGCAGAACAAAAAGCCACGTCGCTCCCACGCCACCTGTAGCAGCGAGGACGCCGGACGCTCCGAGACGTAGCGTCAGCGCTAACATGGAAGGACGCAGTTTGTGATCTGCAGGCGTGATTAAAAGTCCATTAATCACAGGGGGATTATCAGAAGGAGCAGAGGGGTCTATGGACATGTGTGTGAGCAGAAGGGGAGGGGGGTGGCGGTGGATTACAGGGGTCATGCAGCCTCTGTCCCACCGCGGCCTGCTGCCCGCCCCGTCTCTCTCTCACCATGCGGCGCCTTTGTCCGTCCCCTTGTTCAACATTCATTTACTCGGCCGTTTAGGACGCGGCTGAGGTCACCACACATACATCACTGACAGGAACACACTGGCTACTCGTGCTCGTCCACTCCCTTTTGACCCCCCATCGCCCCCCCACCCCCCCTCCAGCCCGACAGTCTCTTACACTGGAAACCCCTTTGGATTACAGTCCGGCTCATCAAACAGTTGTCAGTCAAGTGTTGCTGCTGGGCGAGAGCTGAGCGTTCCCTTGTTACGACACGTCGATGTCTGCGCTGGTTTGTTTGTTCTTGTTATGCAGAATGTGACTCATGTTCCAGACATGAACGCTTTTAATATGACCTCCCCCGATTTCACATGTTCCCAGTCCACAGATTCACTGAAGCCCATATTTTCAGGTTCAGATTCAGATTCTCTTCACTGTCCCAACAGGAGGGGATTTGTTCTGCACATTGTTAAATTTGAAATGTTCAGATATGAACGACTTCAAGATAAAAGTCAAGTTTCTGTTGCACAGTTATGATATTATAAATTCAAACGTTGATTTCTGGGGGCATCAGATAACGGTTAGAGTTGTTGTTAATGGATCCCGACTGTGACGGCTTTAGTTGATGACTTTGCGTCACTTTGCGGAATCAAAATGAAAACTCAAAAAATCCTCCGTTGACATTTCATAAAACTCCTTATATCAAAAGATTGAAGCCTGTAACCATGACTACCAGCTACCCCAATAACTCCTGGTAAGACTACAAGGTACAAGACTGTGTGCATGTTTGTTTTCTCTTCCAGAGTCAGGGAACTACACATCCCACAATCCTTTGCAAATGATCCCTCTTCTTCTTCTTAAATGTAACTTTAGTCGTTGTTGTCGTGTTTATACTGTTAATACAAGTGTGAACAAACAGCTGCTTTCACACCTGCAGAAAACTTCCTGAAGTTTCTCAGGCTGAGCGTCATGTGTGAACACAAACAGCTGAATGTTTCTCTCTTCAGCCTCCTCCAGTGAGCTGATGTGAAAAGACAAATATTCTCATTACAGAGTCGTATAGAGGACTCTTCAGACTCTTCTCCTGGTCTACAGGTGTTGTTGATGTGTTTGAAGTTAGCTCACATTGAGGGTTAAAGAGCACAGCAGTATCTCATGTGTCCCGTACATTAGCCCCCCCCTCAGCTGGTCGTCCCACCCCCCCCCCCTCTGACACTGCTTTGAACAGATAATAAATGTGCTCCTGAGATTATTACAGAGGCCGGTATTTGTGGCATCTGCCAGGCTCGTCTCTGGCCTCTCCAAGACAATGACATCAAAAAAAACAAAAAAGTTCCCCCTGCCTCCACTGTACCCCCCCTCCCCCTCCCCCTCCCCCTCCCCCCAGCGCTGCAACCTGAAACTGCCTGAAGAGATGAGCCGTCATTAAATACTGCAGAGCTGACATAATGACAGGAAAGATAAAAGAGAGGAAACAAAAAAAAAGGCCAGACCAATTCTCGTCCCATAATGTCCCCCCCCCCCCCCCCCCCAAACCCCCACAGGGCCCGGCCACGCCCCCTCCTCATAAAAGACACCAGGCCACAGCACAGATAGGGACACACTGGTCAGCGACAACTCTGCTGCTGTGATCTTCTGTCCAGACACACAAAGCCGCCGCGTCCACCTCACACAATCATCACAGTCCACAAAGCTCGCTCACTTCCTTTCATTGGATGTTTACGTTGAGCGCAGGGAGCTTTTTAAAACGCTCTGAACACGATACGATACTAGTCAAAATCAAACGATGGTGATACTTTGTCGACACCACGGCAGCAAAAATAGTAAACACACATCCTACAATTCAGTTAGCAGACTCTTTTATCCAAAGCGACGTACATCAGAGAGTAAGAACAACACAAGCAAGGATCTAGAAAAAAGGGAACAATGTGAGTAAGAGCAAACGATCAGCTTTGAGTCTGATTGGACACACAGGTGCTGACAGGAAGTGACCAGAGGCAAAGCACAACATTGAGGGCAGTTCTTGAGAGCTCTAATCAGTATAGAAACCATCTTATAAGTCGTCGTTATCAAACAAAAACCATCATCATTACCATCATCATCATCAATAATATGGAGACCATCATCATTAAGTTAGTAGGTATTCATGAAAGAGCTGGGTCTTTAGCTTTTTCTTAAAGGTGCAGAGGGACTCTGCAGATCACATGGAGTTTGGAAGTCCTGAGCGTCAAAAACTGATAAATGTCTTTTTTATTTATTTACCAGACAAACTCGGGCACGCTCAAAGAGTGCGTCTAGTCGTCAGACTTTTTAAACATGTTGACGAGTTCGTCCAACTGAAAAAGTGCTAAGTTTGAATTTCTTGAAGTTGGACTAACACACACTGAGAATGAGGTCAGGGTGTCGGATTACTCCTCCAATGTGAACACCTCAATCGGAACCCAAACTGGTTCTGAGCACGCTCCACAGTTCAGTACACAGTTGAGTACAGTATGTTATTCTTCTTTTCTCTAGTCCCTCAATTAAACAACTTTTATACACGAGGGGAGGAGTCAGCCGGCCGTCCCGGCGATGTAAACAAAGTGAAGATAGGACTCTGAAAACTCTGAAAACATCACAGACAGTGGGACTCGGGTGTTACACCCATTGTAGACAGTCATGACTCACAGAGTTATTTTCAGAGGAGATACTTGATTTCTACATTTAAGGGTTAAAAATCACATATTAAAACTTTAACTGCGTAAACGTACTGATTCTGTATTCTATTTGTGCACATTAGACGTTTCTCTCTCTTCTGTCGCAGCAGCTTCAGGTTCAGAATGTGACAGAAGTTAAAGTTTCTGAACTTCTTGATGTTTTATCAAAATGTGGTGTTTAATAGAATAGGCTCCTCCTCCTCCTCCCCTCTGGATTCCTCTGCCGTCCCTAAATTTGGAAATGAGTTTCGGGGGAGGCAGCATTCAAAGACATTTGCCTTTAAATAGACAGTAATAAAATCCAGACACATGATAGTCCAGCCCCCTCAGCCCCGCTGATCAGGCTCAGATATGTCCTCTGTCACTGCCCACTCTTGTGCAACCGGTGCTTTTTATATCAGCTGCAGGCCGCTGAGCTCTCTGGCACTTGTAATTTCCCGAGCTACGATGCTAAACCACATGAAGCTGGGCTCGGCTCCCAGTTGGCATTCCAGCGTCCCGTAACACCGCGCTGAGGCAATATTTACCTTCAAGGGAAAGTGCACTTGGCACACAGCCGAAACTCTTAGAGTGAAGGCGGGCGGGCGGGCGGGCGGGGGGGGTGTGGCGGCGGGTTGCTACCGTGGTGTGTGTACTACAGCTAACCTTCCCACCCACCCAAAATCCTCCAGCTGACCCGGCCAACCACCCACAGCCTCACAGCGTGCAAACCCTGCCCCGCCTGACTCCGCTACCTGGATCCGAGCCAAACCAGAGCCTGAGCCAAGTGCCAAGAGGGACAGAGAAGAGAAACACACACACACACACACGATGTGAGCGCAGAGGGAGAGAGGCAGTGAGTGTGAACACATTGCGCCCCAACCTGGCCCGCTGCCAGGACTCACTTAGGAGCATTTTTTTAAGCCACAAAAGCCAATCAGCGGTCGGCCGTCCACAGAGATTTGAAGTGTCTCACAAAGATACAGCTGGAGAGGTTTGTCCAACAGTCCAGATTAAGCAGTCACTCACAGCAGGGGGGGGCTGCGCTGAGATATCAAACAACACACCCACACAGGAGAGTGACAGAGGCCTTTCTCTCCCTCGGGGTCACAGCGAGCGCGTGCAGAGCGCTCTGCGGCGGGTCGCTATGGTTTAAGGAACGTTTCTAAGACAGATTAGAGACTGCAGAGCGATCATGTCAGGAGGAGATTCTGTGCTCGAGGGTAAAGATTGAACGACATCACTTTAAAAAAACAGGAAAGCCAAAGCAGGACTTAAACGAAGGGAGAGGAAGCGTGGCGGCGTGGAGCCCGAGCGGTGCACTCACCTGTCTGAAGTGATCCTCAAAGCCCCAGTCGGCCTGTCCGTTAGGAGACGTAGCGGAGTGAGGCCCCGCAGGAGAGAGACCCTCGTCCGGTTCCTGCTTCACCCTGATAGGCGGGGATGCGACCCTCTGGGGCGCCGATACGGAGTAACCGCCGTACGGACGGGCGGGGATGCGGGCGGCGCTCTGCTGCAAAGCGAGGGTCTGCTTGCGGAGAAACTCCAAACCGCTCGCGCTCCCCTCGTCGTCGTCGCTGCCCTCGTCCCCCTCCATCATCTCGTTGTCGTCGTCGTCGTCGTCCCCGGAGTCCCGACCTCTGTCCTCGTCGTCCTCTCTCTCCGAGTCCACGCTGCTCTGATTGGACACCCGTGGAGGCAGCCCGCCCACTGGGAGCCCGACGGGCAGGCCTTTGCCCATGAAGCTGGCCCCAGATGCCCGGGCGGCCGCCAGGATGGCCTGCTGGGCGGCGACCTGCTGAGCGTACATGATGTGGGCCTCTCGCAGCTTCCTCTCCTTGCGCTCCATTTCCAGGCGGGCCTGCTGCTGGCGCTGGAGCTGCTCCATCACCGCCTCCAGCTTCATCCCCCCCGAAGAGGTGCTCTGAGGAAAGGCCACACCGGGGTCCTGAGACATGCTGGGCTGTGGGAGGAAGAGAAGAAGAAGTCATGAAGGAGTCATTTTTTACATAATGCAAACCCTAACCCCCAAAAAAACATCCAGAAAAAAATCATTTGAATTGAATCTGATAATTCTGTTTTAGACGAGATGCCACCAGGACCAGAAGTATTTAAGGTTCATATATTCTGGACAAATAAACAACACACAGAGGAAATGAAAACAGCCGGCCAATACAGGAATACAAGAAGTGTCTCTCTAGAAGGACTTAAAGTGTGAATAAAAGATTTAAACAGTTAGCGCTATGAGGTCTGATTTAAACATGGAAACAAAGAAAACAAGAACAGATCATCCAGCCTCAACAGATTCAGAAAAAATAAAATAAAAACCTGCAAAGGTTTCAAAGTTAAAACCAAGTGATCATGATCCCATAGCAGGTCTGATGTTTGTTAGCTCATATAAAGTGTATATAAACAGTAAATATGTATTTACATATACATATATATATATATATATATATATATATATATATGTATATGTGTGTGTATATGTAGGGGGGGCTAAACGTTCAGATCTACCAGCTGAATTTGTGTTATAGCAGATTAAAGCTGTAACCCGGCCTGTTAGAGCACTGAGGACTAAAGCATGATAAAAAACTGTTAATGTTGGAGGGGGTACACACACACACACACACACACACACACACACACACACACACACACACACACACACACACACACACACACACACACACACACACACACACACACACACACACACACACACACACACACACACACACACACACAGATGATAGGACAGAGAAAGGAGAAAACAGAAGTATTTGTGTGTTCAGTGAAACAGAGTGAGATTAGCGCCGCAGCTCGTGCCTGTTAGGAAGGAAGGAAGGACACTAAAATGATCCTGAGCGTTTAAATCCAGATACAGTAAAAAAATAATAATAATAATTCCAATGATAAAACAACAAGAGGAGAAGTTGACCTCTAGCCACCTTTGTAAGGTTAATAAAGATTCATGAGAGGTAAAAAAAAAAAAAAAAAGTTAAAGGTGTCAAAGTTTTCCGCTTTCTGCCACATCCTCAAAAGACGCGGAGAGCGTCCGCGTAAAAACCCCAAAGCGCAGCACAGGGCGTGAAATAATCCAAAAGTAACCTACCATAGAGGTCAAATTTACTGTGTCTTCTTTTATCGTAGGGAAAGTGAAGCGTCAACGTCGAGCAGGTTTACAAAACGAGGTTAATCGATTGTTTGGAGCTCGTTCGTGATCAGAGGAACGGACATCGAGCAGGACTCACCATTTGTGCCTTACTGCTGCCGGAGTTGTCCACCATCCCTCCTTCCTTCCTTGGCTTTATCCTCTCCTTCTTCCCTCGTTTCTGGCACTCGTTCAAACACTTGTAAACACACTCACTCTCTCACACACACACGCACACGCGCGCACACACACACACACACGCACACACACACACACAGAGAGAGAGAGAGAGAGAGAGAATCGCTGTGCACGCAGGTTCGTGGTGACTCGGAGCAGAAGGGCGCAGTGATCTCTCCTCAGGCCGATGTTTGTGTCTCTTCTTTCCCCGCCGATTTTCCTGATTTTCTTCTTTAATGGAGAGGGGGGACGCCTGGAAAATGGCCAGATCTCATATCTCGCGGAGCGCTGAGGTAACTCCCTTCACTCGGTTTTTTTTCCTCCCCTTCAATTGACACCCACCCCCCACTCCACCCCCCACTCCACCCCCCCCAGCATGGCGCACAACAGCCTTTAGGCCCGCCCAGCACAGCAACAAGTCTCACAGCCTTTCCAGTCTCATGACACTCTGAGCGGGTTTACCTGGAAGTGATCGATCACCTCACGCACCTTTATTTCTGTAGAGACAAGCGGGGCCCCTACGTCATGATCTCAATTAAAAAACACCTTTAAATGTTCTTCTCTTCACATTAAATTCATCGATACTTCTGACAGTATCAGAGAAAATGTTTCTTTTTAAATCCCTCTGTTCCCCACGTGCGACACAAACACACGTCACACAGTTTAAAACTTAATGTTCACGTTTCATGACGTCGCAACATTTAACTAAAAGTCAGCAGGGCCTCATGGTTAAAGTGTGTCACAGAGGTGATACTCTGATGAGTGCAGCTCGTGCAGCTCAGCTCCATGCTGCCCCCTCGTGGCGGTGGCTGTATGACGCAGGTGAGAGTTGGCCACGCCCCTAAATCTGATCTGATCTTTTATATCTATGTAGGAATCTCTCAGCACACACACGTGTGTTAATTTATTCATAGGTGGTCATCACTCACACACACACACACACACACACACACACACACACACACACACACACACACACACACACACACACACACACACACACACACACACACACACACACACACACACACACACACACACACACACACACAGGCTGTAACCCTGCTTAGTTTCCATGGTAACAAGCACAGCGTAGCTATAAATAATACAACAGTTATGGTCTTGTTTTATTGAAAATGGGATTGTTTAAACGACGGGAACTCAAACAATCGACGATGTTAATGTTTGTCTGTCACTCATAATATGCTCGTGTGTTATTTCCACGGGTTTAAACAGAGCTTGAATCACACACACACACACACACACAACACACACACACACACACACACACACACACACACACACACACACAGGTCAAAGTGTGCATATTGCAGTTCAGACATTTTCAAAGGAGGAGAATTTCCATCATGAAACCGAAGCTGTCAATCAAGTTTGGATGAGTCCTCATGGCGTTGACAGTGACGGCGGATCATCAGAGGGGCAGAGCGGTTGTGTCACGCGGCCTGTGCACAGAGGCTACGGTCCACATCCCAGCGGCGGTTTTGGGTTCAAACCCGACCTCGGCCCTTTGTTGCACGTCGTCCCACCGCTCTCTGCTCAGCTGTTCGATTTGATAAGACAAAAATCACCACAAGAACAAAGGGGGCAGAGCCAGCCTTAGTCTCCGCCTCCAAGTGTCAAAACTTTTGCCCCACATGAACCCAACTTCACCTTGAAGGAGCACAGCCTCCCCTCCAGTGAGGAGAGAGAGAGAGAGCGTCCTGCACTCAGAGCGGTGCTCCAGCTCTCTCTGTTGATGCCTGATGTTTTTGCCTTTATTGGATACGACAGTGAAGACAGACAGGAAGTGTTGGGAGGAGAGAAGTGGGGATGACATGCAGCAAATGGCCAAGGTCGGATTCGAACCCAAAGGTTGCTGCCATGAGGCTTGTGGCCTCTGTACATAGCTTGTGCAACATAACCGCTAAGCCATCGGCGCTCCTGCTCTCTCTCGAGCTTTGTTTTCTTCTCTGATCACGTGAGATTTTGTAAGATCTCGCGTCGGTGGACTCGTTCTTACACACAGCAGGTCTGGGTCTGGGTCTGGGTCTGGGTCTGGGTCTGGGTCTAGCCCCCCCCCCGCCCCCTCCTTGTAGACGGCCCTGTTCATGGTTAAATCAGACACAGAGGAATAGATAATAACTTTATTGAATAATGTAAACTGATAAACATTACAATCCGCCCCCTCTGTGCTCCTTCAAAAGCCACGCCCCCTCTGCACTCCTTCAAAAGCCACGCCCCCTCTGCGCTCCTTCAAAAGCCACGCCCCCTCTGCACTCCTTCAAAAGCCACGCCCCCTCTGCGCTCCTTCAAAAGCCACGCCCCCTCACTTACATACACGAGCACCATTTCTCCAGAAGCAGACCTCAGCTCATGCTTTGAGTGTGAGCTAGAGCAGGTAAGAGGTAGAGAGCGAGCAGGGAGACAGGGAGGCGTCTGATTGGTTCATCAGATTGGTACCTCGTGGCAGACATTGGTTGAAGTTTTTACAGACTTATAACTGATACAGATGATGGATTCTCTTTGTTCCTGTTTCAGAGAACATGAGTTATTAGTTTCTGTCAGGACCTAAAGACAATTTACACCAGAATCTGAAGAAGTGGATCTGGAGGAAATGACCAACCCTGACTTTAAAGTGTGTCGGATGATCCGATAATCATAGCGTGCATTTTGTTTGTGTGAGAAATACCCGGATGTTTACGAGCACACTGGTCATACTATACCGACCCACAATGCATTGCAACTCTCAGACTGTAAAATCGTGGATTTAAAAAAAAAAACATAACACAGGGAAACAAGGCGTTCAACTGGTCAGTAACTTACAAACATGTTTTTTAAGATCAGAGTAAATATCGTGATAAAATCGTGATCGTGATACCGCCATAAAAAAAAATATTTTTTTCCATTTCCGCCTCTTCATGTTAAATAATCTTAAAATGACCACGTAATGAATTCCTTCTTTTAAAGACGAGGATCACAAACTGTAAATCCTGCAGACAGCGTCTTTAACCAAATAAATAAATAAGACACTAATCTTTAATCAGCCGTCATCCAGAGTTTTATCTGATCGGATCCTCGACGGCGTTTAGATCCGAAATACACAAAATAATCTGAATATAGAAATCTATAGATAAATTCTTTAGAATAATCCCAAATGAAAGAAAATCAATCAAAAATAATAAACTTTAAATCAGGAGTGTTTCCACGTCTGACCACAGGAGCAAGCGTTTGATGCCGACTCGTCTCTCATTGGTCGATTTTTTATACGTTTGGAATGTAAATTATTTCCATGATGTCATTGGTCGATCGGTCGCAGCGCTTCACTCACTCGTCTGATTCTGCAGCAGTGTAACATCATGTCCGTCTTTCTGCTTTCGTCCCGGTGACTCCTTCTCATCATGAAGAAGATTCCTTCATGGCGAGAAGGAGAAGTGGGAGGAGCTCTTCGGGTGAGTGCTTGCTTGATCATGGCTCCTCCCCCTGGCGTCCTCTTTCTGAGATCTCTCTTCAGACTTTCCTCTGCCTGTCTTTTCTCCTCTTCGCTCCTCTGTGCTGTTCTTTTTCATGTGTTATGTTGGCACCAGGAAGAGTTGCATATTGTCAGGTGGGGGCTATTCGGGGTCAGGTGGGGGCTATTCGGGGTCAGGTGGGGGCTATTCGGGGTCAGGTGGGGCTATTCGGGGTCAGGTGGGGGCTATTCGGGGTCAGGTGGGGGCTATTCGGGGTCAGGTGGGGACTATTCGGGGTCAGGTGGGGGCTATTCGGGTCAGGTGGGGGCTATTCGGGGTCAGGTGGTATCAGTGAGGTCACTTCCTGGAGCTCGTATGTACAGAGCCTGGGTCTGTTTAAAGTGGTAAAGCTGTTTGGGCTGTGATGGGTAGGTTAGATATAGAAGATGTACATGTGGCTGTGGTGGGCGGAGAGAGCTAACATGAATGGGGGGGTGGGGGGTGGGGGGTCTCTGGGACGCTGGAGCTCACCGTCCAGCCTTCCCGAGATGTTGTGGGACTAATCAGACGAATCACAGCTGAAGGGAGGTTCCCACTTGTCAACCCTGGTGATGTCCTGGCTCTTTGTGGGGGACGTCTTAAATCTCCTCCATCTTTTATCCTTTTCTGGTTTCAATCTGCTTCTTTCATTCCTTCTTTCTTTTTGGTGTTTTTATATTGACCTCTCCTCTTTCTTCTGTGATTATTTTTGCTGCTTTTAAATTGTTCTAATTTGTATAATCTGTTGAACTCCTGTATTTTACTCCTCACATTTCTCTATTTAATTTTTTTGTTGAGTATTTTGTAACCCTGTTTTGAAAAGTGCTATAAAAATAAAGCTTATCATTATGATTATGTGGGGGCCTTCGCCTCCATACATGGGGCGTGCGTGCGCACTAACCACCAGCGCCCCCCGGTGTGTGTTTACTGATAATGTGGAGTAGGGGTTATACTGGCCCATAGAGGTGGTGATGTCACTTTGGAATCAAAGTCAAATGTCCTGTTTGAGACAGGACACGGTGAAGAAAAACAAACAGGGAGATCCAGTTAGTGCAACACTCTTCAGTGAAGGTCAAAGGTCACATGTCCTCATATCAAAGTTAGTTAATAACGGGCCAGAAGGCTGCAGAAAAGGCCTTTAGACGGGTGCAGAGGGCAGCAGACAGGACTACAGACCAGTCCCGAGGGCTGCAGACCAGTTCACCAGAGCAGAAGAAGACAGAAGCCGGCTCTTCATTCGGTCAAAAATAACCTAAAATATCTGAAAACAATGACTCACTCATATTCAGCATTTCATGAAGTTCCATAAAAAGAAAAACGTAGAAATAAAAAAATACTTGAAGCTTTGGGGTCACAGTGGATAAGGCTTGTTCTCAAGGCCCTCGGGTTGTCATATGGGTCGAGCGAGCTCGGTGCAGGCAGTCCTGCATGAACAGGGTTTTGGCTTCTCAGCTGGAAGTCCTCAGGCAGCACAGCAGTGAGCAGGATCAGAAGGAGGACCACAGGCACCTGTGACTCAAGTCAGGGACAGGAACCGGAGCCAGACCTTTTACAAACGTCTGAGTCTCCGCTCCAGCATCACTGCATGGAGCAGGACGGGCCCTCAGAGCAGCAGCACACAGAGGAGCCCATGGCTTTGGGAGGAATCAAGTCCAGGTCCTCGTCGTCAGGGATCTCGTCCAGACGGTAGCCGTCCTGAAGCAGCTGCTTGGTTAAATCAGGATGGACCTGAAGAGGAAAAACAAAGAGATCACCTTTAAAGGTCACATATTATAAAATCCACTTCTCCATGTTCCTCTAACTCTAACATGTGTCTCTAGTCTGTCTACAAACCCCCCAATGATGAGAAAAGTCCATCCTCTCCGTCTTCTGCCTGCTCCACTTTTCAGAAAATGTGTGCTCAAACAGGCCGTTTGGAGATTTTCCCTTCATGACATCACAAAGGGCAGTAGCCCCTCCCCCAGGTGGGTGACACTCCCACAGCTAGGTGTTTGTTCTGCCCTCTGAGTCTGCCTTCTCACCGTAAACAATAGGACATGGAGCGAGAAAGGGGCCCTCAGCCCAAAAATAAATCTTTAAAAAAAAAGAAAACAGGCGCCGAATGTACAAATCATTCTAGTTCTCCTGTCATCTTGTAGTTCTCTTGTGATCTTGTAGTTCTCTTGTGATCTTGTAGTTCTCCTGTGATCTTGTAGTTCTCTTGTGATCTTGTAGTTCTCTTGTGATCTTGTAGTTCTCTTGTGATCTTGTAGTTCTCCTGTGATCTTGTAGTTCTCCCGTCATCTTGTAGTTCTCCCGTCATCTTGTAGTTCTCTCCTTTGATCTTGTAGTTCTCTCCTTTGATCTTGTAGTTCTCTCCTGTCATCTTGTAGTTCTCTCCTTTGATCTTGTAGTTCTCCTGTGATCTTGTAGTTCTCCCGTGATCTTGTAGTTCTCCCGTGATCTTGTAGTTCTCCCGTGATCTTGTAGTTCTCCCGTGATCTTGTAGTTCTCCCGTCATCTTGTAGTTCTCCTGTGATCTTGTAGTTCTCCCGTCATCTTGTAGTTCTCCTCTGATCTTGTAGTTCTCCCGTCATCTTGTAGTTCTCCTGTCATCTTGTAGTTCTCCTGTCATCTTGTGATCTTGTAGTTCTCCTGTGATCTTGTAGTTCTCTCCTTTGATCTTGTAGTTCTCTCCTTTGATCTTGTAGTTCTCTCCTTTGATCTTGTAGTTCTCTCCTGTGATCTTGTAGTTCTCTCCTTTGATCTTGTAGTTCTCTCCTTTGATCTTGTAGTTCTCCTGTGATCTTGTAGTTCTCCTGTGATCTTGTAGTTCTCTCCTGTCATCTTGTAGTTCTCTCCTGTCATCTTGTAGTTCTCCTGTCATCTTGTAGTTCTCCTGTGATGTTTGTATAGTTACTCAAGGCTGCGCTCACACTCCTGAATGGACCCAGTGGGGCAGGGTGCACACCGCCCTTACGAAACACAGCTCTTACTATGTGGAAATCAGCAGTTAAAGTAGCACCAACCCTTTTTATTTGATTAGCCTTTAAAACATTAACCATAACTGTTCATCCAAAGAACAGAAGCCTAAGAGTCTGGGACCACTTTTTAAATAACGCTGGTTTAATATTTATTTTTCCACGTTTCATCGCGGTGTTTTAACTTCACCTTCCTCTCCGCTGCAATGTGAGAAAATGAGTTAAGACTGAATGTGCCTGTGGCGTGAAGGAGGAGGAAACAACCTGAGCTCAGAAACAGCCCGAGGCTCCGTGTGTGAGAAAAAACAACCGTATGTCAGGTCAAAGTAAAACGCTGCAGGCCGTCAGTACGTACAGTTTCTACAATATGTATAAAAACACGAGAACACGGACGAGATCTGACCCCACGTCTTCATGTCTGACCTTTTATCACATCATGAGTGGGTTTATTTTAAGATCACACCGAGGTCTCAAAGCTGAAGGGAAAAACTGAGAAATAGAAGTCTGAGATAATAAACCATTTCAAAAAGACACTTTTTTTTTTGCACACTCGAGCCGTCCGGCCGGTTCGACAGTGAGACGATTAGACGATGTGAAGAGGGAGAACTCACCTCGGCTGAAGAGTATCCAGAGGAATACTGCTCAAAATCGATTTCCTCATCGCTGCAAAGACAAGAAAGACGAGTTGTGTCACTGCGAGGTCAACAACTCAAACTTGTCAAATGGAAACATACAGGTCAGGGTCAAGGGTCAGGGGTCAACACAGCGTGGAAGAAGACAATTAAAAGGCAACAGTGTAAAAGACCAGATTTCATTATTCCAGATTAAACATCGATTGCACTCCAACGCTTTCCTACTTTCTAATATGCTTTAAAAAAGGACGTTTCCCAAGTTTTAAGACTGTAAACTTGGGTATACGTTTATGTGAGAGTATATTTACTTATTTACTTTATTTCACTGACTTTTCAGTTTGCCTGATTGAGTGCGTGTGTTTGTATGTGTGCAGGTAGATGTGTTTAAGTTTCTCTATGTAAGCGGGGATGTACATGTTTAAAAACGTAAACGACAACAATCCTATTTGCTTACCCATCTCGGTATATTACTTTTACTCACAATGTCTTTGCCAAGCTTTGATTTTTCTTTTACAAAATGTTTATTTGTCTCACCTCATTTTATAAGAATGTTTAGACAGCTGTGTCTTTCATTTTGCTCTGAATACATTTTATTTTATTTTATTTTTTTTTAAAGGATGTTTCCCTCAAACTCTGAAACTAAATTCTGCATATTCTCGTACCATCATCACAACAGATCTGCAAAGACTCGCCACAATCACTACTACGCCCCCCCTGTCCTCGTAGCGTTTTTTACAGAGCGCTCTGGCTTTTTTGTGCGGCTGCTTTCAGCTTTTCAGAAAGCCGCTGTTGACGTCACCGGCGCTCTGTTTGATATTGCCCGTAGTTTTGCCGCCTACAGATCGTGTCTTGTCTCCACATCCTCCTCGCTCCGTCTCTGATATGGAAATAAACGATCTCAAATATAAAACATGCAGTAAAAAAGTAACGGAGCAGTGTCGGTCACACAGTGGTCGTTGTAAACAGACTGTTGTCATGGAGACAGGACAGACGTGCAGCATTTCTCTACTCAGCGCTTCATGCAAACGCTCCTGAGCGCACAGCCCAGGGCCTTAGCACCTCGATGATCCACAGCTCGTCTTTAAAACTATTCAAACTCGGATGACTTCAACACACAAGCACAAAAGAAAGAGCGGCGTCCGTGAGCGACCTTAACATACAGAGAAGGGAAAGGAGGGCAAGAGAAGTTTAACGTTATTTTCTGGATGTTTTTTGTCTGAATGATGATGTGTCTAAAACTTGTTCTCTTAACATGAACTAGAAGTATCGCATCAAAACCGTACGGCTGCATAAAGAGGTTATTCAGCAGCGTTATCACCTGTACGCCTGCAGCAGCCTTACCTGTCCGAGTCCAGTGCCACCAAACTCTCCTCGGCGTGCTGGCTCAAAGCGGCGTAGCCTTTGTTGTACTTCACCGTCCTGAAAAGAGAACGAGAAGCCGTCAAAAACAAACGTCTCCTCCCCTACATCTACGCTCATGAAGAGCAGCTCCTCTTCTCACCTCTTGGCTCCTTGTCGGGGCTGATGCATCACGGGGGGGTCCCGGGGAGAGCGCCTTCTTCTTCAGGGCCTTTCTCGCCATTTCCCGATGTTTCTCTGGGGACGATAAGAGACACGTTTGTGTTGGTGAGGACCGACTGGATAATAAAGTAAAGTCGTCCCTCAGCCAATGAGACAGATTATATAGGCCATGCATGCTGTTGCCATGGTGATTTTATTACACTCTTTGTGCAGACACATTAAGGAAAACAAGTCCTTAAATCAGGGACTTCGGCTCGTGCCTCTGCTCTTACTGAGTGTGTGCAGTCATACAATGAAAATATCGAACATGTCAGAATGGTCAGAAGCAGCTGATCGTGCTGCGATCGACGTTTGAGCCAGCTGAAAATTTGTACGTCTTCAAAATCAGTCGTATGACTCCAAAATTGCGACATAATCGAACAGTGAACACCAGGGAACAACTTTTCATAAATGTAACTCTATATTATTATAATGCATTTATTACATTAACGTCTTCAAAGGAAGAATGTGCGACTTTTTGATCCAGTAGATGGCGACCTTTAGCTCCAGCATGAAACCAAAACAAACTGCTGTTAGGCCACGCCTCCTCCATCCTGAAGCCTCCGCCCTCCTCCAGAGACACACCTCCAACCCCCCTCCACTCACGTTCACATGAAGAAGTAAAGCACAAGCGGCGGACCAAATAGCACTTGGCTCGAGCTGCATTGTTGTGTTAGCATGCTAATGTTAGCGCTCTTTAGTTAGCTCGTAGCCTCACATTGTTGTGTTAGCATGCTAATGTTAGCGCTCTTTAGTTAGCTCGTAGCCTCACATTGTTGTGTTAGCATGCTAATGTTAGCGCTCTTTAGTTAGCTCGTAGCTTCACATTGTTGTGTTAGCATGCTAATGTTAGCGCTCTTTAGTTAGCTGGTAGCTTCACATTGTTGTGTTAGCATGCTAATGTTAGCACTCTTTAGTTAGCTGGTAGCTTCATATTGTTGTGTTAGCATGCTAATGTTAGCACTCTTTAGTTAGCTGGTAGCTTCATATTGTTGTGTTAGCATGCTAATGTTAGCGCTCTTTAGTTAGCTCGTAGCTTCACTTGTTGTGTTAGCATGCTAATGTTAGCGCTCTTTAGTTAGCTCGTAGCTTCACATTTCATGTAAACTGACACAGAATGAGCGTGATCTAAAAACTCTTACTAACATCCAAATAATCAGTGAGTATGTTCTTCTTCTTCTCTCTAGTTCTTGACTAAAACAGCTTTTATACACAAGGGGAGGAGCCGGCCGTCCCGTCCATGTAAACACGGCTCTGACAACAACACAGCCAGCGGGACTCGAGCTTCTCCCTCATTGTAGACAGTCAGGACTCAGAGACACATTTACACAGGACAGACTGGATTTATGCTGCACACTCTTTCTTTAATGAAAAAGAGCAGCTTTTTAAAATCTGGATTTAAAGGACACCTCTGTTATATTTCAGGAACCTTCTGTTTACCCTCCCTGTATGAAGCACTGAGTGTGATCGTATGAAGCAGACAGAAAGAGAGGACCGTTAAATATATGTCATGTGTTTTTTCAATCTCACATGACAGAATCATTGAACCTTAACTAACTCAACGGTCCATCTGTCAGGACTTCCTCCTTCTTGTGCTGGAATGTGCAATGTATACTTTCGGTTGCAAAACAGAAATCAGACATGAAACCGTGAGTCAGTGAGCGGTGTTAAGAGTTTACCTCACCAGCTTACAGATGACCTCATCTGATCTACTTCAACTTAGTTATCAGAGCCTTAAAGAGGACATATGATCCCCCTCCTCCATCTTTTCAAACAGTCCCCTCCTCCACCTTTTCAAACAGTCCCCTCCTCCACCTTTTCAAACAGTCCTCCTCCACCTTTTCAAACAGTCCCCTCCTCCACCTTTTCAAACAGTCCCCTCCTCCACCTTTTCAAACAGTCCCCTCCTCCACCTTTTCAAACAGTCCTCCTCCTCCACCTTTTCAAACAGTCCTCCTCCACCTTTTCAAACAGTCCTCCTCCACCTTTTCTAACAGTCCCCTCCTCCACCTTTTCAAACAGTCCTCCTCCACCTTTTCAAACAGTCCTCCTCCACCTTTTCAAACAGTCCTCCTCCTCCACCTTTTCAAACAGTCCTCCTCCACCTTTTCACAGTCCTCCTCCACCTTTTCAAACAGTCCCCTCCTCCACCTTTTCAAACAGTCCCCTCCTCCACCTTTTCAAACAGTCCTCCTCCACCTTTTCAAACAGTCCTCCTCCACCTTTTCAAACAGTCCTCCTCCACCTTTTCAAACAGTCCCCTCCTCCACCTTTTCAAACAGTCCTCCTCCACCTTTTCAAACAGTCCCCTCCTCCACCTTTTCAAACAGTCCCCTCCTCCACCTTTTCAAACAGTCCCCTCCTCCACCTTTTCAAACAGTCCTCCTCCACCTTTTCAAACAGTCCTCCTCCACCTTTTCAAACAGTCCTCCTCCTCCACCTTTTCAAACAGTCCTCCTCCACCTTTTCAAACAGTCCTCCTCCACCTTTTCTAACAGTCCCCTCCTCCACCTTTTCAAACAGTCCTCCTCCTCCACCTTTTCAAACAGTCCTCCTCCACCTTTTCTAACAGTCCCCTCCTCCACCTTTTCAAACAGTCCTCCTCCTCCACCTTTTCAAACAGTCCTCCTCCACCTTTTCAAACAGTCCCCTATCTCCACCTTTTCAAACAGTCCTCCTCCTCCACCTTTTCAAACAGTCCCCCTCCTCCACCTTTTCAAACAGTCCCCTCCTCCACCTTTTCAAACAGTCCCCTCCTCCACCTTTTCAAACAGTCCCCCTCCTCCACCTTTTCAAACAGTCCCCTCCTCCACCTTTTCAAACAGTCCCCTGTGGTCTAAATGAAACATCTGTGCTGTGCTTTGGTCAAAATATAACATGAATCAAGCACCAGAGGAGGTTTGTGACCCTGTAGAAACCAGCTCTCTCAGAACGCTCCGTTTTGGTGTGTGTGTCTCTTTAAATGTAATGACCTCCCCCCCTGAGTTTTCCCCGTAGACATCACTCCTCTGTAGAGAGAATAAAAATGCCCTAAAGTTTTGTTCTAGGCTGGGGGTGGAGTCTATGGGTGGAGATACCAGGGGAGGGGAGGGGATTTTTTTTACCAGAATCCCACTGTGACATCACAAGGAGAGCACATTTGAAACAGAGCATTTTTCTCTGTGTTGTAAGACTTATGCAGACCACAAACAAAGGACTGGATGGTTTATTTCACATGTTGTGGGTCAGTAGACTCTCAGGTTACACAGATAAATGTTCAGAAACACTGAAGAAGAGGATTTTTTATAATATGTCTCCTTTAATGTGACGAACCACGTCACTAAAACTTCACCCTGTTGACTGATTTCTGCCCGTGAGTGAGCTCACCAGGGTCGTTGCGTCACCATGTTGCAGCATGTCACAGTTTAACCCTCAGTTCAACACGATAATTATGAAACCACTCTTGACTACCAGGCCAGCGCTGTGTTTACGGCGTTGGTTACGATGACTCAAGACGACGCTTACGTAATTTGAGGTGGATTGCAGGAGCTCTGGACATGATGTAAGGTCCTCTTTTCTCCACCGGTCTGATTCCTCCGTCGGCGTTCTTAGGTCTCGTCCCGCCACTGGAGCCCTGAGATGAAAGAAATGAAGACGATCGGTATTTTACATTCGAGTGTCGTCATTACTCAGAGTAACACTCTGACTTCATTCACCACACATCGACTTTATTCTCTCTTCATAAAGAAAGTTTCCTTGCCTTGAAAAAAGAGCTAAATGAGATCCAGCTCTTCACACGGCTGTCATGGATCAGAGTGGAGGAGAGACCTGCATGTAGCCTGGTCCAGTTTAAGATTAAATAACATTTATACGTCTGGAAAACCTAAATACTGTTAGACATCATTATGACACAAAGCTTCATTCAGTGATTCAGTCTAATAAACTGTCTCTACATTCAACCCACACCTAAGATGAATATAATAAGATTATATATATATACATATATATATATATACATATATATATATATATATATATATATATATAATAAGATTATAGATTATTTGACAAACAGAAGGAACGCAGAGTGAAATGTTTTTATTGACAAACTGCTCAGTTTGTGTTTTATTTACTGATGTGTTGAGTTTGATTGATCAGGTTTTATTCTGGTAGTTTCTCTTCTCTTGTTTTGTTTGGGTGGATGGAAGTTGTTGTTGTTGTTGTTGTTGTTGTTGTTGTTGTTGTTGCTATGGTAACAACAAATAAAAATCTAAAGTCAATAAATAAATTATATTTGTTTAATAATCCTCTGACTGCTCTCTTTATCAATCCATATTTGTGTTGTTTTGCTTTGTACTTAATAAATAAATAAATAAATAAATAAATAAAAACAAATTTAAAATAAAAAACTCCAGATTCTTCCCAGAATCCCTTTCGGCTAACAGGAAGAGAAAAATGTATTTAACGTATTTAAAAGCAAAATAAAAGATGACAGTAAAAACGATTAAAGTCTTAAGTTAACCGAGTAAACAGCACACACAGCCGACCCTCTTAATGATCTTTTCATACATGAATAATAAGAAATAATAAGTATTTAAATCTCAGGCTGAGCTACGCGTCGTTAGCCGTGTTAGCCGTGTTAGCTCAGTTAGCTCTCACATTACCGACAGAACTCGTGTTTCCGGTACGCTGTCCCTCTCCGGCTCCTCCATGATGTCGTTCATCATCTCGCTGTTACTTACACCTGAACACAGACATGTCGCGAGGCGGGGCCGCAAGGTGTGTTACCTCACACAGGTTACACTTCTGTTAGCTAGTCATGCTAATCTGCTTCTTCTTCTTCTGTGAGGTTTGACGGCGGTTGTCAAACTACGCCCCGCCCCTCCCCTGCCCGCCCCGCCCCCTGCTGGTCATGGAGTGAAGGTCAGAATATCTATTTCTAACAGATTCATCTACTTTCCCTAAACTTTAACAAATTCAGTATTTGTTTAAATAGTCAGAAAAGTGATAATTCAACTTTATTTAATATATTATTATTTATTATTTATTAATTATTATTATTTATTAATTTTTATTTATTTATTATTATTTATTTATTATTATTATTATTATTGTTATTTATTAATTATTAATTAATTATTTATTTATTATTATTATTTATTATTGTTATTTATTAATTATTATTATTTCATTTCATTTCCGGCCTGTGGCGCCTCTCCTGCATAGAATATAGAATAGAATTACTTTATTGATCCCAAACTGGGAAATTGTGGCGTTACAGCAGCAGGTTGTCCAAACACACAATATGAGCAAAAAACACAATGTTAGTAAATAAACACAATATAATATTAAATACAAAGTAAGAAAGCACTAAAAATATAAAAACTAAGAATGAGAATATATAAAACCAGGATTTAACTAAACATTTCATTCCCGTTCTCTCCATAACGGCAAAAACCACAAAAACAAATCTTATATTTATTATTCAAGGTGCACTGGGTGACGCAAGTGTTCCAGAGTGAATTATACTGAGAGGTGTTAAATCCATTAACACAGTGGTTCCCAAAGCAAGGGTCGGGACGCGAGATGCATTCCACATAAATGGATGTTCAATTAAACCTGAACGCACCTGAGTGCCGGTGTGCCTTAACCTCCTCCTCCAGGCACAGCGGGGGTCCTCAGTCTCTGGCGCTCTTATTTTGGAGGGTGGCGGGCTGAAAGGGTTTGGGAAGCCCTGCATCAACATACATGTTTTAAAAGTCTTTTGGCGCCATCTGGTGGATGACAGAAGAACGGGCAGGCTACTGAGTTTTACAGCAGATATCATAAACATAAAATGAAGTGAAGTGGGGGGGGTAAGAGGTGAAATGGGACTGAGCCATCTTCTTTTCCAGGGACAGAGGTCAACAACAAGTCAGCAACGGTAAAAAAGAAAAAAAAAGGCTAGTGTCCATGGAAAATAAAAGAATAAAAAAAGATGTAAAAAATGATCAATAATTAACCCGAACAGAAACACATGAGACGTTCTGAAACTATTTTCTTTATTAGGTCCACCATTTTGTACAGAACAGGACAGCATGGATTTAATCAACAATATCGACATATATGACAGAAGAGAATCGGAGGAGTTCATCTCTTTATGACGCAGACGACCTGAAGAAAGAGGAACAGGAGACGGGTTCAGGTGTGAGCAGGAAACACGATTACAGTTACACAAAAAGACAAAAAGGAGAGTTTTAACAATGTCTACATTCCGAAAGATTCAGGCATGATTAAGGGACGGACAATCCAGAATAAAAGTACAACAGTAAATCAGACGCAGTGTTTGCCGTTTCTCCGGTCTGTTACGGCTCTGTGCACCCTCGTCTGTCAACACCCACAGCTGGGTGGACATCTGGAGCGCCCGGGTTCCCGCAGTAATTTTACAGATTCACTCGGGAAAGCGCGAGATAAAACCATGTATGTGATATAAAACACACACTCGCTCATTCCTAAATCAAAATTGACTATTTTATTCTGAAAATAAACAATAAATCATAGTTTTAATGTTTCGGTGTCTGACTTCCTGTGGTAAATTGATGCTCCGTGATCCGTCATCCTGCAGAAATAGAAGCCTTATGTCCCCGCTCCGCTGCTGTAACGGAGACAGATCGAACGGTATCGACAGCCCGCGAGTCACGCTGCCCGACTCCGCTGGTCACGGGTTGAATTCAGCCCTGTTCAGACCGCCGTTTTAAGCCGTGATATTTACGCCCCTTTGACGTTCTACCCTCGATCTGAATGTCGCAGAGGGACAATAGGGGGACGTTGTGACCCCCCCCCCCCCCCCCCCCGTACAGTCTTCAGAGGCGTTACAGACGAGAGGCAGCTGAACCAGCGGGGAGAACAGCGCTGTGTGTGTCAGCTTTTTATGTTTGCATATTAGTCACACGGGTATAAAAGAGATAGAAAGTTTATAGATGGTGTTAAAGTGCGTCTTCTACTCCTCTAGTTAAAATCAGCATCATCTTACCACGCAGTATTCATTTATCGTGTCACCCTGCAGTCTCACCTCGACAGTTTATAGCTTGTCCATGCCGAGCTCTTCTGGTGTAGAGATTCCCAGTTCTGACAGGGTTGGCTTCAGCTCTTGCATCAGAAAGGGATAGATTTCTTTATGGGGGCCGGCTTTGTCCTGAAACACAAGAAGAGACGACGGTTCATCCAAATATTTCCCCCATCACATCCTGGACATTTATGGAGGCCGTTTGTGTTTTAATCCCGGGAGAATCGACCGTGTCTATAATTTGTAAAAGTAAAAACTCAAGGGCAATTTACCGATTATGTTCCGCATTCCATCAACTGAATCAGCATCTCTAACTTTTGTGTTTTTTAGAAAGTCTCAGCGGCTTTTCTTCCCGCTTGAGAATAACGGAGGCGGTGCTGGACGGAGTTTTAGGTGCAAATTCAGCCGACTCATCTCTTTACACATTTTGGATAAATAAATAAATATATATATATATATATACATATATATATATATATATATACACACATATACATACATATACATATACACACACAGTATGCTTGCTGTTTGGTTATTTGTAGAAATGCAAGAGTACAGGGTGTGGACGTCTTCTTCTTCTAATGATCTAGTCGGCTCTAAACAGTTATGCTGCCCACAGAGGCAATGTGGTTATCCTGCAGCGCCTCAACGTTTTAGAGTAAAGTACAGGCCTCGCTTATCCCTTGGGAATGCGCCGCACCAATCACTGACCTCAGGGGAGGTAGAATTACCTCCTAGTTTTATAAATATATAAACCAGGTCAAAGGAAGGTCACTGACCTTAACAGCCTCGAGGATGCGGATGGCGCTGGCCACGTCATTCAGTCTCCGGCAAGCCCTGAGTGCTGAATCCAGGATTTTGGCCTCTGGTACCAGGTCATAACCAATCAGAGTGTTCATGCCTGTAGAGAAACAAAGAGAGTTAGGCTAAAGGGCGAGCAAAGATAAAGATTGTTTTGATGAACTGAACCAAGAAAAAAAAAAAACCTCAATTTAAGTCCAAACTGGGACAGAAACAATAAACAAAGTATGTGGAGTATGAAAAGGATCAGCTGTGAGCGCCGTTACCTTTCCTCAGTTCCCACGCATCGATGTCAGGCTTGCTGAAGTAAGTCACCCAACGGGCGTCGAACTCCTCGTCTGTCTCCACTTTGCCATGAGAGTAACACCTGGAGGCCAATGGAGCTGGAGAAAGAGAGAGATTTATGTCAAATATACAAATTCAAACAGCAAGTACAGGACTCTCAGTTTGAGGCCCCGTGTCCAGCAAGCGAGAAAGACTATGCCTGTCAGACCAGAGGGGGGGCACGGGGTCTCCTGAGGTAAGACGTGATGTAAAAAGAACAACGTGGACAAAGCAGCAGAGTCCTCTACACGACTCTATAATGAGAATATGTGTGTTTGTATCAACGCTCCGTGTAGTTGAAGAGAATCTCAAAGTGAACTAAAGAGAGGAGAAGAACATCCTGGAGAACAGGAAACATGCAGCAGCAGGTTGATTAGAGCACGGAGATGGTAGAGGTGGCGTGCAGACAGTCTATGGTCGTTCAGCGATCACAGGGAATAAAGGTCACCACCCCCTCCCACTGGCCCCTCCCACTGGCTCCTCCCACTGGCCCCTCCCACTGGCCCCTCCCACTGGCTCCAGGTGAATTCTCCTGATTATATCCTGCTGTGTTCTCACATCAGCTCACTCTGACTTTCTGCAGAATAAACACGAGGAGGCTGGAGGAGAAACTCAGAGTGAAGAGAGAAACATTCAGATGTTTGAGTGATCACATGACGCTCAGAGTGAAGAGAGAAACATTCAGATGTTTGAGTGATCACATGACGCTCAGAGTGAAGAGAGAAACATTCAGATGTTTGAGTGATCACATGACGCTCAGAGTGGAGATATCAGGATGTTTTTCTGCAGGTGTGAGATCACTAAAACACAACAGTCAGATATGTATTTCCCAATCAGACACGGAGCCAGGAGGATGAAGGTACAAGACACGATCCATAGGCAGCAAAATCTGGACGTCAGTGATGTCATCAGTGCCTTTCTGAAAAGTTGAACGATTTTCAACTCGAGTACTCAGAGCGGCCGCACAAAAAGGCAGATTACTCAACGACAAAAAAAAGATGCTGGTCGCTGCGATTTTTCTCTGGGTGGCCGTCTGCAAACGCTCTCTCCTCATTGAAACTATTGGAAAAAAGACGCAGGCAGACGCTGGGTGGACACAGGACCTTAGACAGTTCAAAAATTCAAAATGAAAGCCTACTTTTTTAGCGCCATTCATGAAACCCAAGGACGCTTTACAAAGTGTGTGTGTGTGTGTGGGGGGGGTGGGGGGGTGGGGTGCGTAATGGGAGACAACAAGAGACAAACAAATGAAGGAGAAAGGAAGTGGGTGATCAGCTGGGGGAGTGTTAGCTGAGGCTGAATGCTTTGGTGAACAGGTGGTGTTAGAGGAGGTTGAAGCAGTGCAGATTTTGGCGGGGAGAGAGTTCCAGAGGGTGGGGGCTGGGGCACTGAAGGCTCTGTCACCAAAAGATAGCAGTTTGGTGTGGGGGGTGGAGAGCAGGCCTGTGGCTGAGGACCGCAGCTGTCGGGACGGGGTGTAGGGATGGAGGAGGTCGGTGAGGTATGGTGGGGCTAGACCATGATCGGGAGCCAGTGGAGGTGAATGAGGGTGGGGGTGATGTGCTGCGAGGGCTTGGTGCGTGTGAGGACCCTGGCAGTGGAGTTTTGGACATATTGGAGTCTGTTCAGGGCAGTATTTGGTAGCCCGAACAGAACTCCATTGCAGTAGTCCAGGCGTGAAGTGATGAAGGCGTGAATGAGGGTCTCTGCGACGGGGTCGGGAGTGAGGGGCCGGAGTCGTGAGATGTTCTTAAGATGGAAGAAGGCGGATTTGGTGATGGACTTGATGTGGGATTTAAAAGAGAGGGTGGAGTCCAGGATGACGCCTCGGTTACGGACCTCGGGTTATTGCGAAATAATGACATTTCAAACATGCCATTAATGGAAATTAACAATTGAAATTTAGAGAGTAATTTTGCCACTTTTTGACAGTCCTGATATTAAAGTTATTATTTTTTATTTTCCATTTGCTTAAGATTTAATGACGAGCCACTTTCATGATTTTTCTTTAATTACTTGTAAAATAGTTTTATTTTTAAAAGTGAGCTACAAATACATGTTATCATAATAATAATAATAATAAAGATGAATGAATTATTAAAACAATAATATAAATGTATTACAGCGTGAGAAAGATTGATTGACAGCTGATCAGACGTCATACAGTCCAGCACACGTCATAAGAGCTCCATAACGAGTATAAACACTATAAGACCATAAGAGATAAATATGTGAATATTAAAAAACATTAGTTATAAACATGATGAATATGTGAGTGAGCAGAGTCGATCTGCGCCTGCGCACAAGCTGCGCTGTCTGACCCTCCTGAACCGGAGGGTCACCACAAGGTCGTGGATTCTTTTTTTTAACTCCATTTAATTTCGCGCCTCCTCGTTTGAAATCCTCCACGAGACGTGGAAACAGTGAAAACGAATCATTTTCAGATCCAACAGAAAGATTAAACATGAACACGAGTCAATGTCACCTGAAGTTAGCTTAACGCGAAGCTTACCGGCTAGCCGGGCTAACTCACTGAATACACCTTTACCGCGGAGCTCGAGACATTTCGCTGCAGGTGTGTCGCGTGACGATCCTACCTGAGTAGCAGGGTCGTGACCGAGCCAGACTCCGGGCCCCTGTGGCTGACAGTCGGAACACGGCTCGGAACATGGTGCCGCAGTGGGTGCTAACCGTCCTGTGCTAAAGAGGGAGACTCGACTGGACGGACAAACACGAGCGAGGCAGTCACGTGACTGACGGAGATAGCCGAAGCTGTGACGTCAGCGCGTCTCCTTCGACTTCTTTGTGTTTTTTTAGCGGATTGCAATCCTGATTTAAAGGTGCATACCGCCACCTACTGTACCGGAGTATTTATCAGGGGTCCAGTTTAATAATGTTTTCTTTTTATTATCATTATTAATAACAATAATAATAATAACAATAATAATAACATTAATAATAATAATAACATTATTAATAACAATAATAATAATAATAATAATAATAATAATAATAATAACATTAATAATAATAATAACATTAATAATAATAATAATAACATTATTATTATTATTATTATTATTATTATTATTATTAATATTAATAATAATAATAATAACACATCCAGGTGCATGCTTGTGCCTTCCTACTTATCTGTATAACCTTAAACCTTACATCTCTCTCTTTATTATAACGGATATAAATGTGGGTTTATGTCTTTATTAGAACTTATGTCATAAATAGAGCCGAAGTTTAGACATCTTAATTTTATAACTTTACTTTGAGTCTTGCCCCCAACAAACACGAGACCCTACATTTTCCACAATGCAACTTGAAAGTTTAGATTCTCAATCTTAACAAGCCCCATTTTTAAAGCTTTTACAAAATTTGCAGCCAAAACTGACATTACATATTTTCTTGCATTTTTAAACTACGGTGGCCCAGAAAGTCAATTGTAAAAAGAATTTCAGTTTCAGCAAGAATATTAAATGAAACACAAAAATAAGAATTATTTTAGAGGAGAAAGGTTTGGCTCAAAAACAAGATAATGCTGCTAACAGACGTCTCACACCAGCAGGGGGCGCTGCTGGTTTAAACACGGAGGCCCTTCAGTGCAGGTTGGTTTTTATTCATCGGTTCAGAAGTAAAATACCGTTTTTAAAACCTGCGTGTGAGGAGCTGCAGAGCGAAGAAAACATTAATTTAGGGGGAAATTCATGTTTCAATCTAATAAACAAGAAAAATATCATTTTTGTTGAGTAACTTTGATGATAAGATTTAACCATTTCATTTCATTTTGTGTGTACGAACAGCTGACATGCATGTTCAGGGACTGTAACCAAGGTAGGGAGGATTACTCTGTAGTGTGTATCTGATGTTGTGTGTGTGTGTGTGTGTGTGTGTGTGTGTGTGTGTGTGTGTGTGTGTGTGTGTGTGTGTGTGTGTGTGTGTGTGTGTGTGTGTGGGTGGGTGTTCTTAGTGACGTGGTAGACTCTAATCCGGCCTAAGCCCAGGGCAGCCCAGTAGCTGTCCATTAGTGTAATGTGCTGCTGCACATCACTCCTCCTCCTCCGTCTCTTTCTCTCTCTGTCACGGCGCGTCAACACTACACACCAGAACTTCACATATCCGTGTTTACGATGCACATTTTAAACATTCAGCTCCAGTTTTAGAACAACGTGAGAGTGGTTCAGATAACCTCTGTGACCTCTGACCTGGAATATGAGGAGAAACAAATCTGTGACTGAAGCTCTTCAGTGAAGAAAACCAATGACCTCAAACCATTCAACATTACACGAGCTAGAACTCAAAGGAAGGTGATCATTGAGTTAATTAAAGATGGAGTCAGCAGCTTGTTCCTTCAAAATAAAACACAGACTTCTCCTAAAGTGAAGCTGCTCCATTGTCCCTTCTGGGCCTCCGTACATGTGAGAGGGCGCCCGGGTTCAAATCCGACCTGTGGCTCCTTCCCTGCATGTCATTCCCCACTCTCTCTCTCTCTCTCTCTCTCTCTCTCCTTGATTTCTGACTCTATCCACTGTCCTACCTCAACAATTAAGGCACTAAAAGCCCCCAACTACAGATTCTTCTTCTCGTCTGTTTTTCTTTGCAAGCAGTGGGTCTCTGATCCTAGAATTTTATGTTATTTTGCAAAAAGTCTACATGTGCTTTGAAAACATGTTTGCTTTGTTTTCCGTGTGAGGTCCAATCTGCTCTATTTTATATCAAAGGTGGTGTTGGGTCCTGAGTCTGGACCCTGTTGAGAACCACCATGCTCGTCTTCATTCTCCTTTACACACAGGTACACGATGATGTAAACCAAAGACCAAGGCTGTGAAATGAAACACAAGCGGAGTTTTGGTTCTTATGATGGTTTTATTGGCATTTTCCAAGGTTTTTAATTTACAGTGATGATCACAGTCTGGAAAGGTAAAGAGACATGAAACAAAAAGAGAGAGAGAGAGAGTGGCACTATTGCAGATGAGCAGGGACCTCTCCTCGGCGCGGCCTACATACAGAGCATGCGGTTGCCATGTTAGGATATTTTTCGCCTGGTTAAATGAATTATTCAGTGTCTTCTAGCAGCGGATGGACATGCATAACACACTTAAATCAGGACTTTTATACTGCGAGGGTTGAACGGTGGGTGAAGAAGGACTTTGGGGCTCGGCTTAAACTCGGATCTATCGGCTCCACATCCTTTCATTATAAATCACTGCACTGCAAAAGCTCCGATCTTAGCGAGTGTATCGTCGACTTCCTGGTTCAAAAACACCTCATCACACTTAACACACTCCAGAGTCACCTGACAAGTCCAGATTAACTTCTTATCTCAAGAGATTTACATGCAAAGTGTCTTGAAATGGAAAGTCTTTACATCAAATATCTCATTTATAGACACCTGATATCAGGTGATGGTAGCTTCTATTAAGTGTAATTTGATATTTTCCACCAGGAATTGGACACACATTGTTTAAAAAATCTCAAGCCTGAAAGCTTCCCTGAGACGGCAGAGGGGGTGGAGTCAATCAGTGTCAAGGCAGCGTATAGGGAGGAGGAGGAGCAGTTTGCAGGTTATTTAAGGGGCCAGCAGGTTTTGGTCATGTCTGCAACCTGCCGTCTGGAAAACCATCATGGAAGAAAACAACAAACAGCTGACACTTCCTGTCGTTCATCCTGCAGCTGAGCAGAAAAAGCCATCCGACCCTCCATTACCCAGAAGTTTCCTCCAAACCACACAGCTGAACTTTTTTGAAGCTGAAATTTTTACAAGAAAATTTTCAACTTTTTTGAAGCCGCATACATTACACACACACACACACACACACACACACACACACACACACACACACACACACATGCCTTGGTCTGCATGTGTCCTGTAACCCCTTTGGGCCCCGCCTTAGCTGCCCATGACGTGCCACCCTGCAGGTAGAAAAGGGAACAAGAAGCCCTGAACACCCCTCCCAGCCTCATGATCCTTCAGCCTCACCCGACGTCTGCAACCACGCTTCCACCGCTCTACCACAAGTTGTTGGAGTTTCTTGTTTGTCCAACTTTCTAACAGAAGTTTGTTTATGGCTGTTAATGTCGATTTAAGTTTGACAAAGTCCTTCATCCTGACCGTGTGACGCTTAGATCCCCTGCTACCTTCCAGGATGCATAACTAACTATATATTGATGTTTATTGTGCAGGAGATCGTCCGTCATCCATCCAATCCATCCATCTGTCCAAACACAATAAACGGTGAAATGGCTCTCTTATCCTAGTGTTTGAATGCTCAAGCCTTTAGTGATAGTTTGTACAAACACGCTCTGTAAGATTTGAGTTTTTGCAGTGCAGTTATCGGTTATGGTGAACGCCAAACGGTCCCATGAACGTCGCTACACAGACCACAAACGGTTGCACATATTTGCTGTAAATCTTGTGATGCAGGTTTGATGAAACATGTTCATATATTCAGCCTTTAGTTTTGGATGGACAGATTTGGCTCCTGAGGAAAAAGGTGTGGGCACTATACAATCAACCATGGCAAAGATAACACTGCTTTAGATTAGACGACGCTAACAGTCGGATCAAAAAAACTATTTTTTTACTAACTGACTTACTAACTTTATAATCAATCCTACAAAACCTGACTTTGTTGTGGCTTTGTTATCAAGCGGCGAGGGTGGCGGGTTCACTATAAACCACGGTGACCTTCTCATGTAGCATCACGACATCCTGACAGCGTGTCCTACACGGACATGGGGGGGGAGCACATGTTGGAACGAGGTGTACGAACAGTTTATATTACACACAGACTTAAAAAAAAAAGAGTGATGAAGAAAAGAGGAGACATGATCTAAACCAATGAAGCCATTTAAGAAGCACTATGTACAGTGTGGAGAGAGAGAGAGAAGACGATGTGACAGGACTATAATTTATTCATAAAATCAAAAGAGCAACAACACAGAGCATCACTGACGACAAGGGGAGGGGGGAGGGGGGAGGGGGAGGGCGGGACTGAGAGGGATGAATGATATGTGCATGTGTGCAAACCTCTACATGTTACACATTAGAAGCATGATGTTGCAGCGCCTAGGAAGTGGGCGCTGGCCATTGGTGTCGGGGGGCTGGGTTTGGTGGGTGTGGTTATTTTTTAGGGTGATTTGGGGTCAAAGGGGGGTGAAAGCACTTTTTTTTTTGCAGCACTTTAGCCACTGCCCAACATCTTTGTAGCACGCTGGTTGGCCTCGTCAATCCGGGTCTTGTTGGAATCAGCCTGAAAGAGAAACAGGACGGTCAGTTGTGCAGCAGACGAGCGTGAGTAAACATCTGGAAACGAGATTCTGTGATCAATTTCAAGTAATGACACATCTCAGAGTTGATTTTGTTTTATCTGTGTGTGTTTT